TATACCAGGCATCTTCAGGGATAGGATATTTCCTCTCCTGAACGGGACTCTTCTCTGGTGGAGCGACCAGTATTTATTTTGGTGCATCACTGATATGTCAATGGGCCTGGGATCTTCTGAAGCTCTTCTTTTAATGGTGATGAAGACAGACTGCTCCTTTGGCTGAGGTAGGCGACCCATCATGCCACTGTTTGTGCTTGGGCCACCCCTGTCTTAGGAAGGTGGGTCAGATCTTTCACCCACCCCTGAATCGGCAGAGTGGTCTTAGCTATAACTTCAGCTGTCTGGGTTATTGGCTCTACTGCCTGTAATGCTGAATAGGCAGCCAATAACTGTTTTTCAATCATACTATATCTTTCTTCTGCTCCATGCCAGACCTGAGACCAAAAACCAATAGGGGTCCGAACAGAACTCTGGCATTGCCACAGGCCCCAACCAAAGCCATCTTGAATAACGTGAACATCCAACTCGGCTGGGAGGGTAGGATCAAATATACCCAATGCCTGGGCTGGTTTAACTGCCAGTTGTGCTGGTTGGAAAGCATCCTGTTCTGTTCTCCCCCAGTCCCATAGCTGCCCCTTTTTTGTGAGTCTGTACAGCGGCCTTAGCAGCTGCGCTAGGTGAGGTATAAAGGAATGCCAGTAACCCAGTATACCTAGAAACTCTTGCAGCTGCTTCAATGTTGTAGGGACTGGGAACGCCTGAACCTTATCTATGACAGCACTGGATAGTACTTTGGTCTTTCCTGACCAAACCACCCCCAGGAATTTTACAGACAGGCCCAGACCTTGCACCTTTTGGGGATTTATAGCCCACCCTCTCTATTGTAAATAGGCGGTTAATGAATCCGCCGCCTGCCCTACTGCCTCCAGTGAGTCGGATGTCAGCAGGAGATCATCAATATAATGATACAGGTTAACATCATCAGGTTTTTTCCAATCAGCCAGGTCACGCGCCACTAGATTGTGACAGTATGTTGGTGAATCCATGTACCCCTGTGGCAGGACCTGAAAGGTCCACTGCCTGCCTCCCCACGTAAATGCAAACTGATCTTGCGATTCCTCAGCAATTGGGATACTGAAGAACACGTTTGCTAAATCTAGGACACAATGATAGGTTTTTATCTCCCTACTTAATGTATCCATTAGGGAGGCAATATTGGGTACGGCCACACGAATAGGCAGTGTGACCTTATTTAATTCTCTGTAATCTACTGTCATTCTCCACGTGCCATCCAACTTCTGCACTGGCCATATGGGGAATTATATGGGCTGTGTGCAGGTCTTACAATGCCCACTTTTTCTAATTCCTGCACCGTTCTCGATATTTCATCTTGCCCACATGGGAGTCTATACTGCCTTAATTAGTAATCCGGCACGGTTTCAGCAGGCAAATAGGCCCATGTTTCGCATGGCTTCTTAATATTGCCTGCACCGCCTGGATACTGATACATCTCTGTCTAAGTCTGAACTCTCCCACGGTTGTCTGGAGAGCCAGACCCCATAGAATGTCTATGCCCAAGATGTACTCCTGGACTGGGGCAATAGATACCTTATACTCCCGAGGTGGGAGACGCCCAATCCCCAGTTTCAACCATGTTTGGGTGACAGGAATAGTCTGTCCCCCAAAGCCACCAATCATCATTCTGCCCCCATCAAATTTGGTTGGATATCTGTAAATAATTGATGTTTCTGCTCCAGTGTCCACTAATGCCATAACTCTTTGAAGTCAAATAAATTGTTAGTTCTACATAGGGCCTCCAGTAGGGGGACTAACATCCCTCGTCACGCCATGAATTGAGCTATGTCCAATTCTTTTGCTTCCAGTGGCTCAGGCATTATAGCCCAAGACACCTGAGGCAGCTTTTTTTCCCTATTAGGAATAATGAAATCTTCTAAGTTCCATGTCGTTGTTGGCATTCTCTCTATAACCCTTACCCTTGGTTTCTTAGGGTAGGTCTGAAATGTTTGGTTGTCCTCTAGTTCTCTCCAAAGTTGGAGAAGGACATGGTTGGGCTGGCCATCAATCTTAGCAAATTGGACCCAGCCTGAATTAAATCATTAAACATTTGTTTTTGGGAGACCCTTCTGGGTCCCGATTGAGGAGCTCAAGTAGCCGGCATTTTGGTTTTAGTCACTGGCAAGACCTCGGCTTCTTCTAGTGTCCGAATGTTGCGCCTATTCCGCAGGCGTTCTGCTTCTCCTAGATCAGCCACTAACTGCGCAGCCTGCTGGACAACTGCTTCTGAGGCCACTAGGGGATTTAATATAGAGACCAGAGTGCCATACAGATGGGAGGGAGCTTGTTGTAAAATTAGGTCTCTCATCCCTGCTGAGAATTTGACCATATCAGGGCCATCAAATGTGTCTTCATAAATTGCTTCCCTTACACCTAGCTCACGGATATAATTTTGAAGGTCCTCCATGGAGGACCACATCCCTGTATGTAGAGGTATATCAGATTTATTGGGCCATACCATACGGCAGGCAGCCATTAGCCATTCTATTATAGAATGGTTTTCATCGTTATATTGATTATCTGCATATAACCTCTGCCTGACAGCAGGATGAACAGTCATAGTGGCCAACTTGGCTATTTCCGGGCCATTCATCAAAACATTTTCTGCCCCAGAATCCCACAGTCTTAATAACTAAGCTGGCACACTTTCTCTAGCTTTCTGCCTAAATCGCTGTACTAAGTCCATCAGTTCTGTTGCCGTGTACGGCCGGGCTGTTACGTGCAAGTGAGTCTGGGCGGGGAGCCACTGATCAGGCGGCACCCTGCCGGTCTGTCCTGTACTTCTTCTGTTTTTTGAGTTATAACAGGATGGACTTCTCGAATCTCTGATTTTGACAGATGCACTAGATCTGATTTAGATTTTCTATTTTCCTGATCAACACAGTCTGGTGATTCAGGAGCCTGGTCATTGTTTATTGAGATGTTATGAACTTGACCTATTGGAAGACATAGAATTGTTTTTTTTCCTGTTAATATGCCAAGTTCCTGTTCTAACTTTTCAATACGATCTTTCAAAAGTTCATTTTCATTCACTGAAGTATTATTTCTCACTTCAGCATTGTTTAAAGCATTTAACAGTGGCCACGCCACTGTAGAAGCAGCTAATTGCCTCTCTCTTGTGACTAATATATCTTTGCCTAGTCCCTGAAAGTAATCTGCCATGCGATACTGGGAGATGTTTCCCACAACGTGTAGGGGACCCCATTTTTCAATGATAACTACCAGATCATAATAAGGGAATCCAGCAAATCCTGGAATCTGACCTGGAGTCATTTTATCTAGGGGGGTAGTATTCTCCCCCTTGAACCATTTATAGAAATTCCAGAGAAATGACATGATGTAAATTTTAGTATATTCAGCTTGCCTGCCTGGCTCGCCAAGTGTATAATCAAAGAATATTAAGATAGTGTATAATCAAGGAAAATTGTATAAAGGAGTATTGTATAATATTAAGATGTTATAATAATGAAACAAACAAGAGTTAAGCAACAGAAGACAAAGAGAATAGATAGGATGCTTACCCGTATTGTGGGCTTGCTCAGGAAACTCCAGTGGAGCAGATCTTCAGAAGAGAGATCTTTCTCCACTGGTAGTCAGCTCTTAAATGGGTCTAGGAGAGGTGGAGCCAGGCTCCACCCCTTCCAGCAGCTCAGCTGAATTGCCTTCACCTGCTGACTCATTGCTCGCCTCAGGTGATCAATCAGAGGTTCAGGCCGGGACTCAACAGTTCCCATACAAATATGCACTTACTTTTTGTGTCCATTCAATTTGAAGGGTACGTAGTCAGATGTCTCCTGTGGATAAGCGTTCAAAGGATTACACCAAAAACCTAGATAAAGATTAATGGTTGAGAAGACCTTGACTTCTGACCTTCTGATCCTTAATTACACATTTTCCACTCTATTTTATTAAAAAAACAGAGCTATCAAGTCAATACTAATACTAGAAAGAGATATGCAAGGTGAATTTTTAGTAATTTTTTGTATGCTTTCGTATGTATTTTCTCCACATCTAGATTCTCCATAAGAGAATGTTACTGGAATATTACTAGAGAGGAGGAAAAAAAAAAAAGTATATTTAATCAGAATGTAAATGCTCTAATATCTCCTCACCAGGAATGGAGGTGTGGAGATGCTGTGTTGCAACTACTTATTTCCTCTAGAAAATGTATCAGAATAGAAGACTCAAGTAAACAGTTTGATTTTTTTTTAATGTGACTGGATAAAAGATCCATCTGGCAAATTGAATAACTCAGTGATAAAGGGACGTAGATATCTCACTGTTTCATGGAACCTTTCAGTTAAGCATCTGAGTGCTGTGTACAGAACTTGGAAATAGAAGTATTATAGAATCGTGGAATATCTTGATTTGGAAGGGACCACGAGGATCATGG